TCCTGCAAGCGGGACGCTTCCGCGGGCCCAGGGCGCGCCTTCCTCTTCCTCCTTCTCTCCTCTCGGTTGCCAGCTCCAGCTTGGGGCTGGGCGGGGGCGCATCGGGGAGGGGTTTGATTCCCCACTCCTCCTCCACTTGCAGCTGCTGGATGACCTGGGGCAAGCCGTCGTTCTGACAAGAGCTGTTCTTGCAAAAGAGCCGTTTCTGTCCAGAGCTCTCTCGGCCCCACCCACCTCCCAGGGTGTCTGTCTGTTGTGGGGAGGGAAGGGAAAGGAGCCTGTAAACCGCTCTGAGACTCCTTTGAGTAGTGAAGGACAGGGTATAGATCCAATCTCCTCTTCTTCTGTCTCACAAGGGGTGTCTGTTGTGGGGAGGGGAAGGGGAAGGGGTTTGTAAGCCGCTCTGAGACTCCTTTGGGTAGTGAAGGGCGGGTTAAAATTCAGTCTCCTCCTCCCCCTCCTCTTCTGTTTGGTGTCCTGGTTAAGTGTGCAGACACTAACCTGGGAGAACTGGGTTTGATTCCCCCTCCTCCACTTGCACCTGCTGGATGACCTTGGGCAAGCAGTAGTTTAAGAGCTGTTCTTGAAAAAGAGGTGGTGGTGGCTCAGGGCGGCCTCTGTGCCTTGTTGTTGGCGGTCCAGAAGAACCGGTTGAGAGACTGTATGAGACAGGATGCTGGATTAGATGGACCACTGGTCTGATCCAGCAGGGCTCTTCTTAGGTTCTTACCAGGGGAAGGCGAGGGAGTGATAGCTTCTCTGCCTTGTTGTTGGTCCTCCAGAGGAACTGGTTGGCCACTGTGTGAGATGAGATGCTGGACTAGATGGACCACTGGTCTGATCCAGCTGGGCTCTTCTTAGGTTCTTACCAGGGGAAGGCCTTGGCCTCTCTGCCCTGTTGTTGGCCCTCCAGAGGAACTGGTTGGCCACTGAGTGGGACAGGAGGCTGGACTAGATGGACCCCTGGTTTGATCCAGCAGGATTCTGCTTATGTTCTTATGAAGGTCTCGGCCTCTCTGCCCTTGTTGCTGGCCCTCCAGAGGAACTGGTTGGCCCCTGTGTGAGACAAGATGCTGGACTAGATGGACCCTCCCTGGTCTGATCCAGCAGGGCTCTTCTGATGTTTTAAGGCAGCTTTTTGTGTCCAGTATCATCTGAGCTTTATATCCTTCCCTCCTGAGCTGACGTTCCACCTGTGTTTTCTCTTATTTCCCATAACAACCTCTTGTGGCAAACTCATTCACAGGTAGGGAACTGATTTCCGTTTTTCTAAGGGCACCCAGTGATTTCATGCATCAGCTGAGGTCTGAATAAACAGTTTATTGACTCACAACTGGTGCTTCAGTATATCCTTTTTTTGCTGCCGGTCTACATGGGCAGCAGCCGGTGTTCTTTGGAGGAGTTCCTGAAGTAACTAAACTTTTCCTCGCGTTCTCGCCCCAAAAGCTCAGCCAAGCTGTTTAGGGTTTCCCCAGAATTCCGGGCACCATGTGCCAAAATTGCAGGATTTCCCAGCAGTTGCACACTTCAGGGTTGTGTGGGGGTACTACATTTTCCTTAAATGTAAACACCCCCCCTAAGTTTGTCATGACACTCCCACCAGCCCCTTCTGTTGTGAACTTTCAAAACAACCATCCGGCAAAGGGAGTTCTGTCTCTTAAAAGCCGCAATAAACGTGTTCGTCTTTCAGGTGCTGCAAGGCTTTGTCATTTTGACACTAGCAGGCTGAACACTGGGGTTGCTAGGCATTCCCCAGTGGCATCCAAAACAAGATGGGGAAGATGGGCTTTAAAGATGTTCCAGCGCGTACTTGGAACGTTTAGGGTAGGCGAGGCAACCAGTGGGCAAGGCATTTCCCTTTGCATGCAAACGACAGAGCTCTTATATAGGACCCTGCTTCTGTTTTCAATAGTTAGAACATAAGAACATAAGAGACGCCAATGCTGGATCAGGCCAAAGGCCCATCCAGTCCAACACTCTGTGTCACACAGTGGCCAGAAATACCAGGTGCCCTCAGGAGGTCCAGCAGTGGGGCCAGGACATTAGAAGCCCTCCCACTGTTGCCCCCCCAAGCACCAAGAAGACAGAACATCACTTGCCCCAGAGCCCCTATCTATACCTTGTGGCTAATAGCCACTGATGGACCTCTGCTCCATATTCCTATCTAATTCCCTTTTGAAGCCGTCCATGCTTGTAGCCGCCACCACTTCCTGTGGCAGTGAATTCCAAGTGTGAATCACTCTTTGGGTGAAGAAGGACTTCCTCTTATCCGTTCTAACTTGACGGCTCAGCAATTTCATGGAGTGCCCACGAGTTCTTGTATTGTGAGAAAGGGAGAAAAGTACCCCTTTCTCTACCTGCTCTATCCCGTGCATAGTCTTATAAACCTCAGTCATGTCACCCCTCAGTAGTCGTTTCTCCAAGCTAAAGAGCCCCAAGCGCTTTAACCTTTTCTCATAGGGAACGTGTTCCAACCCTTTTATCATTCGAGTTGCCCTTTTTCTGCACTTTTTCCAAAGCTATAATATCCTTTTTAAGGTGTGGTGACCAGAACTGCACACAGTATTCCAAATGAGGTCGCACCATTGATTTATATAGGGGCATTATGATATTGGCTGATCTGTTTTCAATACCCTTCCTAATAATCCCCAGCATAGCATTGGCCTTCTTTATTGCAGTCACACACTGTTGGACCAGTTCTTGGTTTTTAAAAGCAAAATTCTACTCTGTTGCTCACCCTCAGGCAGTGATTCTTCATCCTGTGCTTGCAACGTGTACTGTAGGCAATTGATTGAATTTGATTTTGGTGTAGGTGAGCCAGTTGGGTGTGGTGGTTAAGTGTGCGGACTCTAACCTGGGAGAGCCGGGTTTGATTCCCCACTCCTCCACTTGCAGCTGTTGGATGACCTTGGGCAAGCCATAGTTCTGACAAGAGCTGTCCTTGAAAAAGAGCCGTTTATGTCAGAGCTCTTTCAGCCCCACCTGCCTCGCAGGGTGTCTGTTGTGGGGAGGGGAAGGGGAAGGAGTTTGTAAGCCGCTCTGAGACTCCCTTGGGTAGCTAAGGGCGGGGTGTAAATCCAGTCTCTTATCTTCTTTATTAAATTTCTACGCTGCCCTCCCAGGCTAGGCCAGCTCAGGGCGGCTTACGTAAAACAGCGTAAAATTTTACAACACACATAAAATAGATTACAATACTCATAAAAAAGGTTAACAACAACAGATTAAACAGAGAATTTTAAAACCATTTAGCCGTAGATATAATAAAGTGCTAGTACCGGTATTTTCAGTGTTTTGAATTGATTAAGAACATAAGAACATAAGAGATGGCCAAAGGCCCATCCAGTCCAACACTCTGTGTCACACAGTGGCCAGAAATACCAGTGCCATCAGGAGGTCCAGCAGTGGGGCCAGGACATTAGAAGCCCTCCCACTGTTGGCCCCCCCAAGCACCAAGAAGACAGAGCATCACTTGCCCCAGAGCCCCTATCTATACCTTGTGGCTAATAGCCACTGGTGGACCTCTGCTCCATATGCCTATCTAATTTAATCAGAATTGATTAAAACTGTTCTGTTTGATTGAGAAGGCATCCCCGATGAACTGAGCTGCAGGTATTTTAGAGTCTCCATCACCTAATAACACAGATGCTTATGCACAAGGAACACACCCTGGGAGCGGCTGTGGCTCAGTGGCAGAGCCTCTGCTTGGCATGCAGAAGGTCCCAGGTTCAGTCCCCGGCATCTTCAGTTCAAAGGACCAGGCAGGAGGTGATGGGAAAGACCTCCGCCCGAGACCCTGGAGAGCTGTAAAGAGGGGCTGTGGTTCAGCGGCAGAGCCTCTGCTTGGCATGCAGAAGGTCCCAGGTTCAGTCCCCAGCATCTTCAGTTCAAAGGACCAGGCAGGAGGTGATGGGAAAGACCTCCGCCCGAGACCCTGGAGAGCTGTAAAGAGGGGCCGTGGCTCAGTGGTAGAGCATCTGCTTGGCGTGCAGAAGGTCCCAGGTTCAGTCCCCGGCATCTCTAGTTAAAAACATTCAGAAGGTGATGGGAAAGGCCTCCGCCTGAGACCCTGGAGAGCTGCTGCCAGTCTGAGTAACAATAGTGACCTTGACGGACCAAAGGTCGTCTGATTCAGCATAAGCTAGCTTCCTGTGTTTGTAGAAGAGCCTCTGGTTTTGAATGCAGAAGGTCCCAGGTTCAATCCCCGGCATCTCCAGGTTAAAAGAACCAAGCCGTAGGTGATGTGAAAGAGCTCCGCCTGAGACCCTGGAGAGCTGCCTCGCCGTCTCTGAGCAGAATACTGACCATAATGGACCAAGGCTCTGATTCAGTAGAAGGCAGCTTCATATATGCATCATGTGTTGAAGAGGTGTTTTCCCCTTATGTTTTACACAAGAGGGAAGAACTTGTCTTAGACGGGGCTTGCTGCTCCATCATTTGAAAGCAAAGCCTTTCTTGAGTTCCGAAGTATTATTTTGTCTAAGATGTCTTTATTCCAGGGGCAGCCAGTGTTCCCTCTGAGCTGAGTCAGTGTGAGCCAGCTCACAGTTTCTTAGCCTCTGGCCCTCGCATTTGTGTCTTAACTCAGGAAGGAGGGCTCCAGAGCGAACTAATCGATGAGGCAGCCGAATGGCTGGCTCGCAACTTTAATGCCAGTAGCTCACAAAGTAGGATTTCTGCTCACAAGACTCCACGGCTTAGAGGGAGCATTTGGTAGCAGCCCTCCGTGGCTTTCACGGTGGGGAGGTTTTGGAGCTACCTGGGCTTATTTGGGGCTTGCCCGGCCCAGGGCTAGTCTACAGCTTGGATTTCAAGAACAGGCATGTTCCTGTCTCATTGGACAACCACACCCAGTGGAGCTGTGAAGAGCGTTTGGGAATCTAGGGGTGTTTTAGGGTTAATAGCTGGGTTAGGGTGGGCCACAGTGGGACGGGGGTGGGGATTCCGGGCCCATACTGTTTTCCTGACATTGTTATCCCATTTCTTCCCAGCAATTTTCTTCCTTAACCGAAGTGATTTTTCAATTTCTGGGAGAGCCTAAAGAGGTAAGCATTCTACGAGGGCCCGGGTGTGAAATAAAATCCAGGGGTACAGGTTAGTCTGTTTGAGACGTATTTTTACAAAGGGATTTTTTTTACCATGATTATTCAGGCTAAAAGTATTTTAAAAAAGTATCCCGAAGTGCTATACACAAGTTTACCATCTTGAAAGAGATGGAAGCTTTTATTATTATTTTTAATGTGGATATTACTTTTATAATTTTTAGAACAATAGTAAAAGTATAAAAGTGAACCACTGTTTTGGAACCTGAAGGTAGAGAGAGTGCTGAAACTCTTAAAATGTCTTTTGAAAGGTAGGAAATAATAGGAAAGTCATAGAATCATAGAATGTTGGAAGGGACCTTGCAGGTCATCTAGTCCAACCCCCTGCACTCTGCAGGAGCGTAGCCAAAAGAGAGCAAATTATGTAAATTATAAAAGCGTTGTGGGTTTGTATGGTTTGTTCTTTTCCTGTTACGGAGGCGATAAAAGAATTCCTGCCCTTGACCAGTGGATTGAATTCCTCCCTTACCCCTCCAGTATTTTTTACTTCCCATCACTTGCTGTTAAACCTTTCTTTATCTCTATATGGGCGAGAAACTTGATTTAAAAAAAAGCAGCTACAGTGTTCTCAGGATGCCACATTCTGCACCTAAAAACCATCCAAGTTAGCTTCAGAGGCCAGCCATGTTGGTCTGAACAAAACAGCTAGTAAGTAAGTAAAACAGTAAAACAGGAAACAATCCATATGCAAAAGAACCTCCTCAGGAAAGCTCCTCCATTATCATGTTTCACAGCCTGGGGAACTCCTACAAGATAATGACTCAGCCCCACCGTACCTTCCTGAGTAGATATAAATTACCCGCCTACCATTTTTCTTCTCCATCTTTCTGTGTTACACCTCTGAGGATGCCAGTCACAGCTGCTGGTACTACAATGCCAAGACCACGGCCATAAAGCCCGGAAAAATCTACACCAACTGAGGTACTGACCTCGATGGACCAAAGGTCTGATTCTGTATAAGGCAGCTTCACGTTTTCCTGTGTGTTGTCCTCCCGCAGGTCGAAAGGTTTCTCGCTCAGCTCACTGACTTTGCTGCCCTGAACAAGATCAGCCTGGGACCGCTGAAGAACATCGCCAAAAGTCTCCTGTTGGTGCCAACCAGTGAGTACAAAGGACATGGGGGTTCAGACGCAGTGTTCCCTCTAAGCTGAGTTAGTCTGAGCCAGCTCACAGTTTTTTAGCCTCCGGCTCACACATTTTTGTCTTAGCTCAGGAAGGAGGGCTCCAGAGCAAACTAATGCATGCAGTAGCCAAATGGCTCGCTCACAACTTTAATGCCAGTGGCTCACAAAGTAGAATTTTTGCTCACAAGACTCCACATCGGTTCAGAGATGGTTTCAGCATTTCCCCTAGCACTGATTTCAATATGAGCGTTCGTGAGTCAGGGTTTTCGGCCCACTTTGGCGATCCTTTGCAAGTGGATTTTGCTGTTTCGCACCGTAAAACCCAGTTGCAACATGGACTGAAAGCTCAATATTCGGGGTATGTGGAAAGCGCCCGTGTTCAGACGCGTGGAAGGGAGATTGCACCGGGAATTTTTCTAGGGGCAGACTGCAGACTGAGGAAGAAGTAAATCCGAAACATGAGAAAATTAACAGACATCGACGAAGGGTTGTAGCAGGGTACCACATGTGAAGAGGACGACGCCTCCTTCGGCCTTTCCTCTTTGACCTTAGCCGTTCTGCTGTTTTATGGTCTGCCGTGCCCTTACCTTAGAAGCTGTCGATGGTTTGCTCAGAAGTATATGGACTATCACGACCTAATCAGAGGACAAATGTAAAGAAAACAGTCGTGAGCGTCTAACCCACAGATCAAGCAGTCAACAAGACTTGCAAAGAAAATGCTTTCTGTATATTATGGTCAAAAGCACTACAACACAATACAGTAAACAAATTCCTTCAAATCATAAAGTCATGAAAGGTAATACATTCAGATAGGACGCTGATCTCAATAAGTATTCAAGCTCAAATATGGATCCCAGGCGTCCTATCGAGATCAGCGTCCTATCTGAACGTATTATCTTTCACAACTTTTTGTAAAGCGCTTTATGAGCAAGAGAGCTTTTGCACTACATCTCGTATTTTCTGAGGAAGATCCAACTTTGAAACGTCGTTATATAATCCGGAGACAACGACGATGTATTTTTACACCAGGTTTTTCTTATGATTTGAAGGAATTTGTGTATTGTATTGTGTTGTGGTGCTTTTGACCATAATATAATGTGTTCTGGTTAATCACAAGCTAAACATGAGCCTGCAGTGCGATGTGGCTGTGAAGAAAGCGAATGCAATCTTAGGATGCATTCACAGAAGCATTGTGTCTAGATCACGGGAGGTGGTCGTTCCGCTCTATTCTGCGATGGTCAGGCCTCACCTGGAGTCCTGTGTCCAGTTTTGGGCACCACATTTTGGGAAGGATGTTGACAAGCTCGAGCGTGTCCAGAAGAGGGCAACCAGGATGGTGAGAGGGTTGGAATCCAGGTCTTACGAGGAAAGGCTGAAAGAGTTGGGTCTGTTTAGCCTGGGAAAGAGAAGGCTTAGAGGGGACATGACTGCAGTCTTCAAGTATATGAATGGCTGTCAGGTAGAAGATGGAGCAGATCTATTCTCTCTTGCTCCGGATTGCAAGACTAGATCTAGTGGGTGGAAATTACAAGGGAGTCGATACCGGCTAAATATCAGGAGACACTTCCTAGCTGTAAGAGTGGTTGAGCAGTGGAACACAGACTGCCTCGAGAGGTGGTGGACGTTCCTTCGCTGGACATTTTCAAGCGGATGCTGGACGACCCTCTTTCGGGTATGTTGTAGGGCTATCTTTCGGCTGTGCTCCTGCAGAGTGCAGGGGGTTGGACTAGATGACCTTCAAGGTCCCTTCCAACTCTAACATTCTATGATTATATATACAGAGAGCATCTTCTTTGCAAGTCTTGTTGACTGCTTGATCTGTGGGTCAGACTCTCGCAACTGTTTTCTTTACATTTGTCCTCTGCTCAGAAGTCCGCCTTATCTTCTTGGCTTCAGCCCGCACAGTAGTGATGTTGTCTGACCAGGCCGGTTGCTGTTTTCTCCCCCACCCTTCTCTGCTTTATACGGTATTTGTTCTAGACGCTCTAAAGAGGAGTCTGTCGGCAGAGCAGGTCGCTGCAGATCTTATCGCTCTGGGTAAGTTCCCTGCCGGCGGCTTTTCCTGGGGATGGGGGGCAGCGGCTGCCGAGCGCTCCTGTCTAACCCTGTCGACTTTCCCCTGCAGGGCTGAGCGAGGAGAAGGCGGCATACTTTGAAGAACAGGTACAAGTAACATTCCTTTCGCTGCTGCATTTTTGTGGATCTTCTGGGGGGGGGCAGGGCTCTTTTCTCTGGTTTGGCTGTTCAGCGAAGGGGGGGTGGCCCTCTTTGCCTTGTGACCGGACCAGACCGCAAGATGTGATAGTCCCGCTGCACGCTGTCTTGGTCAGGCCGCACCTGGAGCAATGCTCCCTCTAAGCTGTGGAGTCCTGTGAGCAAAAATTCAACTTTGTGAGCTACCGGCATGAAAGTGGTGAGCGGGCGACTTGGCTGCTGCATAAATCAGTTTGCCTTGGAGACCTCCTTCCTGAGCCGAGACAAAAATGTGTGTGAGCCAGAGGCTAAGAAATTGTGAGCCGGCTCACACTCACTCAGCTTTGAGGGAACACAGAGTCCTGGAGTCTTGTGTGCAGTTCTGGAGGCCTCACTTCAGAAAGGATGTGGACAGAACGGAGCAGGCGCTGAGGAGAGTGGCGAGGATGATCGGGGGCCTGGAGGCCCGAAGCCCCGTGAGGAAAGGGACTCGGGAATTTTTAGTCTGGAGGAGAGGAGGCTGAGGGGGGACATGACGGCTCTCTTGAAGTCTTTGAAGGGCCGTCCCCTTAGAGGAGGGCAGGGAGGTGTTCCTGCTTGCAGCAGAGGAGAGGACTCGCATGTTTGGTGTGGTGGTTAAGTGCGCGGACTCTAATCTGGGAGAACCGGGTTTGATTCCCCACTCCTCCACTTGCACCTGCTGGATGACCTTGGGCAAGCCATAGTTCTGTCAGAGCTGTCCTTGGAAAAGAGCAGTTTCTATCAAGAGCTCTGACAGCCCCACCGACCTCACAGAGTGTCTGTTGTGGGGAGGGGAAGGGAAAGGAGTTTGTAAGCCGCTCT